TCTCACATGTGTCAGAGAAAGGAATTAATTATTAATATATACTGTAATAATTTGTATCGTATTCATATATAATATAATGCTTAATAGTTTGCCGCTCTGAACATTCATTCATATAACGATCAAATTTCGTCGCAGTCTTGACTTGTTCGAGCAAAACAAACAACGTAATTTTTAAATCGATGTTATACCAAGGAAGAACTCGAAGGATGGTTTTATTGAAACGTCCAAGTTTTATACGCCGAGAAACTTTTAACGAATAGTCGCTAATTGCGGATTGTTTTCTTGCTCTAAATGACCGTAAATTACGGGATCGGAATTCCTCCAGCCGTCGCTGGTTGTTTTCCTTTGCGACGGTAATAAGGGAGTGATAATAACGGTTCGGAGCCTTGGATATTAAAATCTTTCTCCTCGGGAGGCTTCGAGTGTCTCCCGAAGACGAGGAAGCGCTGCTTCTAGTATTGTTTGCGGGGCAGACTCGAATCCTCCTAATTAGAAAATTCTCGTAGCGACCCCGTCTTCGCGTGCGTCTTCTTCCATCCGCGAACCTTTCTTATTATACGGGGGCGTAACAAGGGCCGAGGGGTGCCTCGGTAATTATTATTCAAATATTTTTCTTTGCCCGAGCTCGCCGCATTAATATTTACAATGCTACCCCTAGCAATCGTCCCTTCGCCGCGAGGGGTTTACGCAACCAACCCACCGCGAAGACGATCGCGTTTCTTTTCCGTTCTGAATCTCGTCGAACGTGTCAAATTTTTATCTGACGTCTCTTCGTACTGATTCTCTGTAAGCTTGGGAATTGTTTTATTTTAGCTAATCGAATTAAAAACGATCGAAAAACGTATAAACTCGCGAGGTCGTTTGACTATCGCGGCATTAAAGGGTTACGTCACCTGACCGGTGCTCTTATAAGGTTTAGTTTAGGCAGATTTATACCAGATGGACTATACGGTATGGTTTTTTCCCACTAATCGTGAAGTACTAGGTTAAGTTCGTTTTTATTAATTTTCTCACTGTTCAGACTACGAATACTCTAATAAAAATCTTCGGCCTGCAAGTCCGAAGGCAATTCCAGTTCTAATTTTGTATAGAATTTTAGAGGCTTCTATAAACGTATCTGAAAATAAAAAGTACACTAGACAGACGTGAATACAAACAACGGGGGTGTTCCTTCGCTGAAAATTCAATTCCAAGCGCGTCCGATCTGCGTAACAAGCGATGCGTGCCCGTTAGTCGAACCGAGCCTCGGGAATCCACCTTCCAATGCCTTCACCCTCCCTCGACCGAAAAAAAAAAAAAAGAAAAGAGACGCGCACCCCCTTTCCAGGCTAACGATGTGCTAACAAAATACGGACCGCGGATAAAGAGCCGCTCGAGGAGGAACGTAAGCAGATTGACGAGACGGAGACCGTTGTGCGCGAAGATTGAATAAAAAAGAAGGGAACGAAAGACGAAGACAAATATAAGAGGCTCGGAGAGTTAGGTCTAAGAAGCAGACTCGTGGAAATCGTTCTCCTTCGCCGGAGTAAGGTATATCCTCTCGGAAGGGGTGGAAGCCACCCCTTAATTATCCGACTGACAATTATTTTTAACGACTCCGCGATATCCTAACGAGACCTAATCGGCCGACGTGGCGTCTGTTAAAAAAGCGACCTCTCCGTGGAATGGTAAACGAGATGTCGCAAAAGGGTGACCCTTCTTATCGCGTCGCTTTAATTCCTCGTTCCCGAAATCTCCACTCATTCTCGCGTCGCGATCCTCTCCCCTTTCGACGATAGATCGTTTTAGATTTAATTATGGAAATATTTTCATCGAGACGATTTCGTTCGCGTGTTAACAGCGTGAACGTCTGAGAGATTTAAAATTAATAACAGGAATATCTCCCGACAACGTTGTCGGCTCGTATCCATTACATTTAACTCAAGAAGAGCGATCGACATTTACCTACTTAGTTGTTGGGAGTAATAATAGCCGATGTCGCTCGGGAACACGTGCACACGTGTCATTAGATGAATCGCTGAACACTGCAATCGCTTTAGCACCTCCGATGCCTGGGAAATGCGTGTTTAGAGCCGATACATTTCTATCGAAAATTGTTTAATGGACATAAGGGTTACCGTCGAGCTCGTTCGTTTTTGTTCCCACGTTGCCAACCGGCGTCAGCCATCGTTGCGATTTCGTAAAACGATCTCGTTGTCGCGTACTCGAACGCAAAGTGGCGTAGCGATCAACAACGCCACGATCACATGGCGGTAGTCCACTCCTGTTCTCGATCCCTATTACAACACAATAATTACCGCACGATAGACGACTTCCCACGTCCGGCACGCCTCGCTCATTAAATCCCAGCTTAATGATAGTTACGATCGTTCTACACCCGTTATGGGCACGGTGACGTACGCGGTCGTAACAATCGCGTATAGTTAATCTTATTTCATTAATTATCGATCGAGCGAGCAACATTTACCGTCTAATGCCTAGCAATACTGTTGCACGATTTATCCAGGCTTCCGTTACTTGCAGCAGCTCGTTGCGATAGTTTCCTGAAGAGATATACTTCGGAACATTTATATTAGGGGGGCCGAAGTGTAATCAAAATGTCTTCGATTTCTGGATGACAATTAGTTCGCGAAACGAGTCGAAATAAAACAGCCCACTCGAGAAAGGCCATACGAGGCTGAGCTTCGATCCATACCTTAATCGACTGTTTAAAGTGCAGATGTTCCCGAAAACATTCCATTTCGCGGGCAAGAAAGAAGCTCCATTATCGTCATCGCGGCGTAAAAGGCTCTCTGGCAAAGTCGAAACGACATGCTTCGAAAGGAGTTAAACACGAGTCCCCGGTCGAAGGTAGAATAACGAGAGAAATCTGCATGAACGAGGTCCGCCCCTGACTTTGGAAGCTCCGTGTTGCTCTGCATTTAAATAATTAAAGATCCGACGGGACGGATGGACGCATGGACCCGTCGTATTAATGGGATAATCGAGCGTTCAACATCGAGCGAGAAGCGACACGAGAGGAGGAGAGGGAAGGTTGGTGGTTGGTGACGGTGGTGGTGGACGGGTGATAATGATTTTATAGTCAGCTGAACTGCCCGGGGGAGGAGGGTGAGAGACAATTGACTCGATAATACGGGTCTTCCTGCCTGGCACCCGTTGATACCGACGGCGAATCAAGTGCGAACACCCGACCAAGAGAAAGAGAAGAAGCGACAAAAGAGGGACAAGGATAAATGTTCCGTTCGCTAATGACCCTGGTGCCTCTTTAGGGACTGCTTCTCGACTTAGGCTACCGGTCGAAGACCTCTACCTCTTCGTTACGGGCCGAGGTATCAGAGTACCTGACAGCAAACTCCACCTTCTTCGCTTCTGCGGCACCCTCGCGTCATCCGGGCTCAATACGGGTACAACTTTCGGTGAATCACGCCGAGGATCGCGTGGAGGACGGATAAAAGTGTCTTCGACGATGTTGATCGTAGAAAATCCTTGGCGAAGTAATCGCTTGGTGAACATTTGAATCTATCTTTGAACGAATAGCACATCGAAGGACGATGAAGATGGCGTTGCAATTGGAACTGGAGTTGAAACTGTGACGTCCAAGTTGTGCTCGCGAAACACCGAATTACCATACCGATAGGGACAGTAGACTCGCAAGTAGCCTCTTGGTGAGGCTAGAAATACGATTCTACTATTAGCAAAAGGAAACAGTGTTACAGTTGGAGTGGAGTGGCAGGACAACGTGATAAACATAGTTTCAGATTACCATAATAAAATTCTTGTGGGAACGTCTGTTCTAACCCTCGCAAAATCAGCTATTAATTATCCAGGGTGTGAACCAATTAACGAACGCGCGAAAACCCCACAAATAATTTCCTGTTTGGAAGGATAAAATAAAATGTCTCACTCCTTGCACCTAAGTTACATCGGAGCACTAAAAAGACAGCAGAAATTTATACGGCAACCCGGCACAATGAGGTCTGCCACTGTTATCTACGCGACAGGCTCTAAATCACTCGACCACCGTTCGGAGATATCAATCAGTTGTTAAGCAGGAATTCGTTAATGAGTGACACGGGCGTACAGGTGGCGAGGTGTTCTTAAATTTCAGGACAACAGGCGTGCACACGCTTGACAACCAGTTCTTTTTGTAGTCGAGCTATGCAACGGGGCGTAATTCAACGATAAGGCGTCCGACCATCCATACACGAATTAATATTGCCTCGCGTAAAACATTTAACGAATGGGACACTCGCGTATCCTTCGCTGCTCGTAAAAAATGTTCGCTTAATCCCACCCCTCCTCCGTGTCCTCTGCGACATGGCGTATACAGATGTCGAAGACAACACCTGCCTGGAAATCGCTCGCGACTCGATACATTTGCACACAACAATATCCGAGATTCAATTCCACGAGGCGATCGAATGGTCGCTTTCCATTAACGGTATCCATTGCGTTACACTTGTAAAGGTTAAGACGAACTTTCACGCCGCGATTACGTCTAATGAATGGGCCGACCGCGTCTCCCAAACGCGTAAAAGCATGTCCTTTCAAAAATGTGAGAAACGGACCACTTTTAATAAAAGTCGAACGATAAATCGTTCGGTGGAACGCATCGATAAGGTTTATGTATTTGGTACACTATAATCGCATTGTGCAACGTTTCCTGAAACAAAAATTCCTCGACCTAAAATGAATAATAAGAAAAAAAGCATCTGCAATTATCCTACATTTTTATAGATTACAAGTATTCTTTTCTCGTCCTCCTTGTATCGTAAGACACGTGTACTGAGACACTGCTTCTAGGTGTTGTCCCCTACTACAGAAAACACTGGATTAAATCATAACTGCAACAATAAATACTTTCAAGTGCGATGATCTATGGTCTTCTGTCACCGTTCTGAAAGCAATTGCATTTCGCTCGCAATACCACGCTGGTTCTCCGGATGCAAAAACTTTGCCCATCCACTTTTGACGTCGTCATCATTGTTAAATCACCACCATTACACGACAGACGCGATAGACGGACCGAGGGAGTCCTCGATGAATTATAGTTTCGGTTATTGAGTTTCAATAATGGCATCAGGACCGCGAGTCTGTAAAGTAAATTAGGAAATTAATTTAAAAAAAAAAAAAAAAAAAAAAAAAAATTGAAAGGAATACAAGTTACAGGTACTTTCCCAATTAGCACAAAAATAGGGTGTTGGAATTGCCGCTACGATTACGATTGCGGTTAAAGTTAAAGTACGCCAGTTGTAAAAGAATCCACTCGATATAGATTGTAAAAATATCCTTCCTGGAATAATTTTGATTGTATCTGGGGATGGCTTAAAGTAGGTCGATTCGCGCGTATAAATGTGGACCGAAATAGATAAAAGATCACCATATCGAATTATTCGCGCCGCCCACCGAGGAGAAAAACACGATTCGGTTCGAATGAGAATCGAATAAAAGAAGAAAGATAGGAAGAAAAGGACCCGTCTGCCTTCGCATGCGGCGGACGCGAAAATAGCCCCGGGACACGTCAATAATTAATTAACGGAATTTATCGATACGCCCCGCCGGCGTCGTTATCTTGTCTGATACGCGTACGAAACGATTTTGTAGCCGTGCAGGGGGATAAGCCATCGTCAATTCATTCGGCTTGCCTCGTTCTCGTAGAAATTACGACTTCCTCGTGATCCTCGACATCCAACATGTCCTGAGGGATGCGCGGAGAGCCCTTACAACGAACGTCGTTCACGGTATCGACGTCAAATTGGTGGGCAGGTGACTCTCGAACCATCCAACCCAAATTTGTGACCCTACGAACGTCGCCCGTCTAGCGACACAAATAACTATTCCGGAATTTACGCGTAATCTCGTGAAACGCTTATTCCCCGTTCCAATAAAAACGGTTCGAGTGGCAAATTGTAACGTTTGCTCCTAGGCAAGGTAACACGTGGTTGCGATCAGGTTAAGGGTCATTCACGGCGCAACACCTCGCGCGTTGCGAACGAAAATCGTATAATTTGATCCAGCCGGTGATCCGCGGAGACGGTATTAATTTTCGCGCAATCTTCGAATCGCCGATCGGCCGGCCGGAGGATCGCCGTTGCGGCTGTGAAGTCAATGCCACGGCCGGGGATCGATGCATTCGCGCATCCATAACTATGGTACGCGAAGTATGCAACAACTGTGCATTCCACATATGCTCGCCAGGCGTGTTCTCACGTGGTGACCACCGACACACCGACGTAGGAAAACACGGTGCGAACGTGGGCGTGCATTCCTGCCTTCGCATTATCTTCTCTTCACTCTCTTTCATTATTCCTCTCTCTCTCCGGATCGTTCGGGACCCGGTGTTCCCGTCCTCGTCTCGTCTTTCCCTCTCTTACCACCGGATCGCCTTCCTACGAGAGAAACCCTTCCACCTCCTTTTTATTCCACATCCTGGCCCGTTATCGTGGATACCACGGTCCAGAACGGCTGTTTCACACCTCCGCTCCCGCGAGAATTAGGAAATAAATTAGCGACCGGGCTAATTTCGTTATCTCGCCCGATGCGAGACCCTCCCGCTTGAGACGTCAAGGGACCGATGTCCAAGTCTTCGAACTGCTGCCCGGACACGATTTCAGCCGTGTCCCAACCCGCCAGGATCAATGGCTCCTCGCCTCGTTCCAACGGCTGTTCGTCGCCTTCCCTCCACGCTCTTCTTTTCGCTGAACGTATCTCCGGATCAGCGAATGGTACTTCGTTAGAAACGGTCCGGTTCTGATTGAGATGGCAGCAGATGGGCCCGTGGAATGGTCGCCTCGCGGGAACAACAAAAAAATACACCTCTCTGGCCCACGATTGCCCACCTGTACGCGCACTTTTCCCGTCGTTGCTTCAGCGAAAACCGCGGCTCATGCGACAGCTTTGCGATCGATTAAGCTCGTCGATCGCGATCCCGCTGGCTCGTTGTTCGGTGAGAAATTAGTTGAAGCGGCATACAGATCTTCTAGATATTTTTTATTGGCGAAACCTTGAGGTTGTCGTCTTGTTATTTAAATTTGTGTCTTGTTTCCTCGTGGCTGGAAAACTAATCGATATAGTTAAGTCTAAAACTTGAACTAATTTAAAGGCTAGGTTACTTTTTTTGGTATAGTTCGATCAGTTTGACAACATTATTTAACTGAATATCAAAACTGAAATGTATTAAAGTAAGTTTATATTGACTGCGAATATTCAAGTCAAGGTCCCAAGTCGCACCTGTATAAAATTCTAGAATCCAATAAGATAAAATTATTGCGACCTCTTGCCTATCGAAGGTAGGGTTCCTCTCCCACTATATTTTCGACAGACAAGTTATCGCGTAACTTTATCTTATTGGATTCTCGATTCGGATCCTTGATCCTGACCTGGATATTCGCAGTCATCGTAAATTTTCGTACGAAGTGATCCTAAGCTATGATCTTGTCGTTTCGTTTGTTATTCCTACCGTGTTCCTGCGAATCCGAGTCCAATTTTTCGAGTCCAATGATTAAAAGTAAATCATACGCGATCTGCGATTCCACATCCGGTTTTCGAAATAATTAAATTCCCATCAAGTTCTGTAAAAAAAAAAAAAATCTATAAATTCATACTAACGACGACTGACTCAGCGACGTTAATTACACTCCCGTGAAACCTATTAAAATTGCATTTAAAAACCAGGTTAATCGATGAACACGATTCGATCGTCGGCTTAGCAAACCAGAATTCAATTTGACAAACTCCGGCTTATCGTTACGCTCCTCCAGGACATCCATTAAAATTCCTGAAGGCGCTAACGACATTCCCGATTATTTTGTTCGACGCCCTTCGAATGCGAGTTTATAGCTGTCAGGATATACAGACATATACCTACTTACCAGCGGAGCCCACGGTATTGCGTCTGACACGGAAACTCGCTCGTAAATTCCCGCCGAACAAATTTCCAGCATGTGTCGCGGCTATCTTAGGCTCAGTGCTCCTCAACCCGTAAAACCTAATGATTTATTTAGGCTCGTTAAAACTCGGCTGACCGGTGACATCACTAAGCCGAACAATCTCGCGAAACCTGGACGATAACTATTCGCCCTCCGATTTCGTGACTCGTAGAGAGATGACATTTCGTACCACAAGTTAAGACCAACAGTGTTTTTCTTCTTGGAATCATAGTTTCCCATTAAGTATATGTTTTTTAATATTTCGTAAAAGTGTCGAACGAACCAATGTCCTCGCTCTTACTGTAACGAAACAACCCAACCTTATCAGAACTCGTTATTGCTTTATAGATTACGCCAATTTTAATATAATTTAACGCAAAATGTTTCAATGTTAATTCAACTTGAAAATGTACGACCAAATGGTGTGCACGGGTTAAATGTCGATGGTCAGCGTCGAGTTTGAGAGCCCCTGGAAAGTTGGGAGCGGCCGGGCAATCAGAATCTCGTACATAGTCACACATTTAAACAAAAACACACATCGAGGTGGTACCGAAGCACTACTATCTCAATCCGTACGCAAATGAGCTCCTCTGCCCTCTAAGAAGACGAGGCAAGAGCGATGCGCGTGTAGAAGTGGCCGAACGTTTGCGCGTGTACGCGCGCATCGGAGGAACGTGTGTTTTACGCGCATAAATTGAACACACGTGAGCACGATACGCACACAATACAGATGAACGCGATGTTGATCGCGCCCGTAGAGCCGTGGAGGAGCCGGGAGATTGGGCAGAAGGGAGGACAAATCAAAGCCACTCAAAGAAATAACCAGTGCTCATTAAGAGTAATAACCCTCTCTTCGGTCCGACCGATTGTTTCAAGGGTGTCACACGGATCGGGCAGCTGCGATACTGCGCTGTTACTTAACCGTCTTCCTTATTATATTATTTGATTCGGGGTTGCAATGGGGTCCAATGGCCTTGGCAAAGAGAAGGAGTCCGTTTAACCGACCGATCTTAACGTCCAGTGATTCTTACTTCCACGTGGTGCACTCAGGAAGTATCCACGAACAAGTAGATTAAATTTGACTTTGGTTTTGATTTGATCGGTCCTTGTTGGATATTTGTCCAATTGTCGTGGTTTATTTCAGTGGCGTGACCCAGAAAGTAATGTGTACCAGGCATAGATTTAATTAGAAAGTAGCGTGTCACTTTTGGTACGAACCGATGACATACATTTTTTAGTTGAACAAATATTTCCTTTCGATATAAAATATGCCCAAACCAATTGAAGATTCTATTTTGGGGTGAAGTAAAAGAACCATCCTCTATTAAAATTGATAACCTACTCGTTAATAGAATATTTATGGTGAATTTTATCAATCGAATTCTGTAAAAGGCGAGGTGTAGAGGTCAAAAACAAACTCATCGTAAATACTAGTTTTCGTCGAGACAGAGGATTCGACGCGTGTTACGCAAAGTCTCGTCGTTCTGCTCGAAAATCGTTTCCCGGAAGATCGTTTCGAGATGAAACGTTACAAGCGTGAGCGGAGCCGCAGATTGAAGTGCTTGTCGCGTGAGGTGAACGCGATCATTGCGTTCCACGAAACTATTGCGCTTAATTCGCAGAGGAGAAATGCTCGTCGACGACGGCTCGCCTTCGTCTTCCTGATTAACCAATTACTGCTCGTGTGTCTCCTTTGAATACGCGATAGAATATCAATTCTTTAATAACATCCATCCACGGATCATTAGTCAGACGATTATAGAAAGCAGAAAAACTGAATCGCCTTCGTATCTCTCGCGAACAAAGTCCAGGGTTTCCAGCGAGTTTCTAATCGCGGAGCGTTTTGCATACCCGTGACTGTGTTTGTAAATTACTCACACTTCTCCGGAGGGTATAGTCTCTAAAATGAAAAGATAAGTAAACTATATTAGATATTATTGTAGGAATAAGATAGGAACGATATCTGTACCTTTGAACCACCGCGAACAAAAATTCCTTATTTAAGATACCTTAAGAAAATTCCGAATCAAAGACCCATTTTACTTACTCGAGTGCATCTACCACCCTCGAACGATCGTACCACGCGACGAACCGCGTTTGTCGACTGAACCAACAGAAATTAGATTTAAAAACGCGTTTCTTCCTCGCCGTGGAGTACAACACGTTCATTGTGCAGATCTAAAGTATACACTTGGTCAAAATCAATAAGGATATCGATAAATGCGCTAATCGCGCCGCGCGCACTGGTTATCTTCCACCGAAGCGCGGACAGTGGCGTCACTGAGCCGTGGGAGAAATTAAAAATCTCCCTTTCGCTTATCGACTTCCCCCCGTACGTTCGCCACATTCTCGCGAAACGCCACGGGGCTGCGAGGATCGGAAGAGCCTAGCAGAACTATGCCGTGGCCAGTGTCGTTTCGCTAATCCCGCCGTTTATCCGTAACACTTTTCACCTTTCTTTACTACATAGCCTCACCTTCGCCTCGCGAAAAAAAAAAAAAGAAGGTGGCTTCGATGCCGAGACATAAAAACGCGGATTATTTGCTCTTACGATCGTGGCAGACCATAATCCAGGCGGCCGCCAGGTACCAGAAAGAAGTGTTAGTCAAACAGAGCATCCGTGCGTGCCAGGGGTTCTCATTACCGTGCACAGATTTATTTAGGCTCGTTAAACTCGTCTACTCGTTAGTACGTGTCACGATTCTTCGGCAAACACGATGGACGATAATTATTTTTTCGAAATCGCTACTTTTGTTACAAATGGCGAAACAGTCTCTTTATAATTGTACGTATAAATACATATTGTACATACGAATATTCTTCAAGAAATCAATTAGACAAAACCTTATACTTGTTAACACAATGTTGGCCGGTCACGAGTAAACTCGTATTTGCGCTTGCATTATTCTATGTACGAAACCCAGGGCGATATAGGATATTCTAAAGCTTTGGCCATCGTGTTTAGTTCAGTAGTTGAAAAATTACGAAATAACAGCCGATGACACGTAGTCGCTTCTGTGTAAAATTGCCGGTCACGCGACAGCACGTCGAGCAATCCCACGACACCAGGACACTCTGCTTGCTCGTCTTCGATTTTCCGATGAAAACTGCGCCAAAGATTGATCGCTGGTTTAATTAGAGTCTTCGGATCCGACAGCTATCAATTCCATTGTTGTCGTTGAATAGACGGATCGAGGTGGAGCGACGAAGATAATTTCCTGCCTGGTTTTCTGCTCTCGTCCAGGCTACCCGCGACCCACCGAGCTTGATAATTACAGGCGAGCGGCCAGCGAATGAGCAGGGGTATCATTAACACTTCCTGCCTCGTAACGACTCCTCGTCTGATACACGATACTCGATATAACCACGCGCGTCACTGCGTAAACCTGTGAACCCGTTTAATCGTCGTCGAATGACACGTCCTCTCTCCTTCTCGCGTCCACGGACGTCCTAAAAGAACCCGTAAAAATGTTTACTGCTCTCGCAATCGCCTACCAATCACGCCAATCGTAGCGGTCGTCCTAAACGATCGAACCCCGTTGACAATAATTGATATATCCCGATCTGTCCAGAAATTATATTCCGTCGATACTCGTCGTCCCACGACCGGGTTAGTAACGACTGATTTAGAGGCGAGGCGAATGGTTTTCTTCGTAAATTCCATCTGGTTACGTCGGTAACGGTATTATGACGACTACGTCGGCTCGAACTAATTAGCTCGGTCCGCTTATTATTGGTAAGCGACCACTAGATTCCGGGGACCATTTCGTAAAGATCATCTCTGAATTAATGTTAGGAATAATTGTAACGATGTGTATGCGGTGCGTTGCTGTACCTGGTAGTTGCACGTTTCGTTGTATAGACCTGTAGAGTAGTAGTTGTCTTGATTTACGCGTGTTGTATTTTCAACAATAATGTCCCTGAGTTTTATCAAATAATTTCCTAACAGCGTCGATCCGTCGTTTGGTTTCAGTAGCGGCTCCAGGTTTAAGCGGCGGCATGCACGGGAACGGTCTGATGTCCTTGCACGTGGAAGGTGGTACGCAGGTCCAGGTGCCGCGGTCTCTGATGCAGGCCTTCCTGCAACAGGACCCGAATCATCCTGGATTGGAGACGGTGCGTTTGCCGACGCCTCCTCACGCCAACGATGAGAACGGTCCGCCGCAGCACTGTCGCGAGGTGGAAACCGAATTGTGTCTTGTATGTCGCCGATGCGGCCGAGCTTATCCTCAAGAGTCGACGCTGCTCGCTCACCAGCGTTCCTGTTACCTGGGCAATCAACAGCGTCGCGGCGCGCTGCGTCTCGTGCAATCACGTTACGGATGTTCCTTGTGCGACGGAAACACCCCCGCTCGTACCTACGCGACCATCGGCGAATGGCGACGTCACGCCGAAACGTTGCAGCATCGGGCACGCCTAGAGGCCAGCCATCAACAACAGCAACAGCAACAGCCGCAACACCAGCAGCATCAACAGTTCGGCAATATTGGCGCAGACTCTGGGGCACAGTGCGGCGAGGAGGTGCATCCTCTCACGGACGAGATGGAGGACGTCGTCAATCAGATCACCTTGCTGGCTGCTCGTGCGGCCGCTGAGAGCACGACCGGCCAATCCCAGGGTAACGAGAGGGTGAACCCGGATAACAACAACGCTCCGGACGTGAAGAGACAGAAGCTGGTCCAGGAGGTGGCCGCTTTAACCGGGGCACGTTAAACGCGCGCGACGGCATGGAAACGAGGAGGACAAGGGTAGGAGCTTCTCGCTGAGGGATGGCGATAGGATGCGCGATTGAAACTTGTGGATACCACGTCCCGTCCCGAACGCGATCCCTTCGCGAAGCAGGCGGCGAAGAAAGAAGAAAATGGACCGAGAGTGTTCGATGGGTGCTCTTTGAGAGAGGTACTCGATAACGAAGAATAACAAAACCAAAAAAAAAAAAAAAAAAAGAAAAATTAACGTTCCTAACCGGCTAGACAACGGGCAGGGGGGTTCCAAACCTGGGAACCGTCGGCGGGGAGGAGGGGGCAGAGCGTCCTCTTCCCGATCCCAAGGTACTCGCGCGTGGACGGTGTGGACCAATCGCGACGAGAGCGCATAGCGAACCTCTCTTGTTTCCTTTCGGTTTAATCTTTATGTTCCGTTTTTTTGCGCACTGCCACTGTCGCGCAACACCCCCAAGTTCAACTGATTAGTTTTTATCGCGTCGACTGTAATAGCGCGCCAACGAGCGGCGCGCGCTCACCAAAGTTCCTTCGATTGAAAGAAATAATGAAGAGGATGAAAAACTCCGAGAGAGAAAACTCGAGTAAACGAATAGACGTTTGTTTTCGCACGGATCGGGGGGGGAGAGCTTTCTTCGGCGGAGCGCCGATAAACTGATGATGATATCCGAATCCATCGTCCGTGAAAGTATGGTTATTCGCTCCCGCGGTGTTTGGTGGAGGAGGAGGAGGAGGAGGGGGGAGGGGGGGTGAGGGTAAGA